GATTTGATAGAGATTGTTTTTTCTTTTGAGTGGGGAATCCGAAATTCGCTCGTTAATAACTTAGAGTTATGAGTTGCTTTTAGTGACTTTGTTGCGAGAGTCATGTTCTACGTGAAATTTTTGTAAACAGACATGTATCAGAATGCGTAGAGACGTAGTTGGGTCTCGTTTATCAACTGTTCTCATGAGCCTGAGTGGCACCTCATTGGCAGCATAGAGCGGAGCATTGAGCGTTCACGCCTTCCACCATCGCGCCTTCAATTTTGCAGATGCAACATGGACGCTCACCAAGTACGAATAGTTGTATCTCTGCGCCGTCATGATTGCGCGTCAAATGTCATGCTCTAGTTTTATGTTGTGTCGGTTCCGTTTGTCTTATTTTCGTAGTGGCGCTTCAAGGGCTACGTAAACAACACAGCCGAAGATACCTACGTGAGACGTGCGTTGAAGTGTCTTTTATTTTTGAAATTTGAGAAAAGTTGAGGTTAAGTTTCCACATTGTGATGTGTCAAAATCAGTAATCAGCTTGACGCGGGTGGGTGGAGGGGGAATATCAGAGATCTTTCAAGTGCTCTCAAGGGCTCACGTCTGACAGTTGGTATTTTCGCGAGAATTTAGCCGTGTCAGGGACTTTTATTTTTTGACGAATATCCTTAGAAATCCTAAGCTGGGTCAAATTGACCAGACTGTCTCTTCTGAGAGAGTTACAAATGGTGGATGAAGGAGATGCGAGAAGGAAGAGGGAGAAAGCGCCAGTTGCACCTAGCTAATTTTCAGTTACGGCTATTTCAATACATAATCACCCAATTTTCATGCTGCGAAATCACTGATAATCTCACTCACCAACGGCACTTAACTACATTTTAACACATAACGTAGGTACATCCAAAGGCATCCGGCTAATTTCTATCCAGAGTCATTTTAATTGGACCGTTCAGCAGAGAGGAAATAAGTCACATCAGCTGTTGCCAAATTTAATTGGGCAATTTACCTTTTTACTTGAGAACGGTTG